TGTGAAAACGCTGACGTCAGATGTCAGCGCCAGTCTCTTTTATCGAGTGCGTTTCCAAGATGGCGTACACACGAGTGTTGAGCTGTGTCATGCTTGCGCTTATTTCAAGCATAATTGCGAGCATTCAATTGAATCATGCAATAATCGATATACAGGAAAACTACAAAAGAAGAAGACTAAACCTCTCAAGATTGTTATCCACAACTACAAGCACTTTTACTCGAGTAAAACGACTTAGATGCAGACGTGAGAGCAAAGAGAGAAGATTCTGGACCAGACCAGGTCGTACAAGCGCCTGGTGGAACAACTTTGCCGATCAAGTGGTGATACCAGAAGAGTGGAAAGAGAACTTTCGAATGAGCAGAGACTCGCTAGATAATCTAGCTGAAGAACTGAGACCGTGCGCGTTCGGTGTATGACATCGTTTTATGCGTTTACGAGCGTTTTCGTGTGGACGGGTTAAAACGCTACGTAAACGATGATCGTTTTCGTGTGGACGGAGATAAAAATATGCGTTTACTAGCGTTTGCGTTTACAATCGTCTTCGTGTGGACGGGGCCATAGTATAGAATACGCAAACCGAAGTATTCTTTAAAAAATATGCATTTCTGTCGCACGTACTCAATAAAACGGAAAATATTGTCAATGCTGGATATTGGGTACTTTTCTGAAAATCGCAAAAATTATTTCCTCAGCAAGAAAATCCAATGTGTACTGTCCTAATCGCAAAAATTAGTTCCCGCAAAACACAAAAAAAATCGCTAATCCGCAAAAATAAACTATCGCAAAAATCTCGTGCCACACAGTATTTTAATAGTAGTAAACTAATGTTTAAAGTAATGTTGTTACTTTTTTTGTTGTTGTTTATTCAGCTTTTTCAAGAAGTTTTCAGTGAACTGAAGAGACACATTACAAGCATGTACAAAGTGCAAAATTTTGGGCTCATTTTTTGGTTTGGCCTGCGCATTGTGCTGTCTTTTGCTGAAGAAAATGATCAGGCTGATGTTTTCAAGCACTGCATGAATTCCACCAATTCAACGTCTTGCAGTTTTACCTATGAACATGTCTACAACAGTTTAACAAAGAATGAGAGCAATTTTAACATATCCTATGCCTTGTATCCTGATGGAGCAAGGCCATCATTTCTTGTAAGAGTAAATGTTTATGGGCCCAATCGAACATCCAACTCTATACCAGCAAAATTTACCTGGAGTATACACTGTCTGTATGCCAATGTCCCTGCCTGGCCGCTTCAACTTTTGTCTCTTTTTTCCATTACTGTAACATCTCGAACTCAAGACCTCAACATAAAAGTCCCTGAATTTTGTTGCAATATGTCAGATGACAAAAAGAAAAGGGAAGAAATGATACAAGGATTTCTTACAAGAACCTTATTTGAAGTAAGTGTCAATATAATTTATTAATATTTTGTACGAATTAAAGCATGAAAAAAGTGTAGCTCTTACTTCACTAGAAATGAAATATCATCGTTGTGCCAGGTAATAGCTTGTTGAAAAAATTCACATGCTGACAGTACATTGGGGCTTTTTCTACTCCTTTGTTAACGATTTCACTAACTTAGCTCACTGTCCTTGACTTTTCAAACTTTTGTTGACGACCAAAATCTATTTGGCCTTGCTCCTGACTTGAAAGCTTGTGAAATATATAAACTCTGAATTTCTGGATGCCTTTGTCGTGTTATTAGGATAAAACTAGCCACCTTGGTAGATTCCAAAATCATCAAGTTTAAATGTTACACTAGAAGCTTAGTTAGTTTCAAGTAAGCACTTGATTCAAATGCACCTGTACTTCACACTTGTTGTTAAAGTGTTTTACCCGAAGTACAAGCTGTCAACCATCTTTCTCGGTAACATCATTCATGCATATTATTCGAAGAGGGGGGGGGGGGCTTATTTGAAGGGGCGCTTATTTCGTTTATCAATTTTTGGCCTCAGAATGACACTATCTTTATTTCTAGTTAACCCAAACTGTAGGACATAAAAATTCACATGACTATTTCTATCGAGGAAATGAGAAGCAAACCCGTAGGACTTTGACTAAACATTAATTATGTACTCTTTCGAATGTCACATTCCTTAAAAGTACCGTATTCGTCTCACATATCGCACCGAGTACTGAACATCGCTTTTTCTCGGGAGAGGCGGGGAGGGAGGGGGGACGGTGCCTATTTGAGGGGGGGCGCATATTGACTATTTTCCAATCGCCCATAATACACTCTGTTTGCCCCCCAAATTTTGCATAAGTTATTGTCTTAAAATGCTCTTGGGAAAATGCAATACTCCCAGGAGCATTTAAAAACAATGGTTTATGCAGAATTTGGGGGGCAAACAGAGTGTATTATGGGATTTGCTCACTCTCTCTGAGGAAAAATGGGGACTACTCGTAGTCTAACAGCCACTTACGATGTAGTCCCATTGAAGTGATGTCCAAGATCTGATCTTTGATTATGGCATTTAGTGGTGTGATAAGACCCATCCATCACTGCCTTGAACTGCATGTACAAACGGTCTCTTATTTTCATTGATTGACAGTTTTCTCTCTTAACGCAAACACCTATGCCCTCGGGAGTAAGTCAAATTCCTATGTGACACGAAATTTTTTTTTGTCTCCAGGGCCTGTTTACATGGAGGTGGGGAACCCCAGGTAGATGTGTTAACCCGCTTAGGTGGGGTAACCCGCCTGTCCATATAATCTGCCATTTTAATTTGATCACGTTTACATGATAGGTGGGGTGACCTGCCAAGGCGGGTAGCCCGGTCTGCCAGACCGGGTAACCCTCTCAGCCGGAGTCAAATTTTGTCATGTAAACGTTTCAAGATGGGGTAACCCGCCTAGCAGGGGTCGGATTCGTGATACATCAAATTCGCGCAAAATTCACTTTGGCGGTGGCTTTGCATCATTATTAAAGGTAACAATAGAAAGCCACAGCACTGAAGGTTTCAGCAAGAGCAGCAAGTGAGTGTAGAAGAGCATTAATCGCCAGAACACATAGTTTGCCAGCATTTTTCTTGTTTATGTCCTTAGTGACCATTCAATAATTTTGAGAAAGTGCACCCCGGGATAGCGAGGTTGTAAGATTGCATGTAAAGGAGGGTTATTTTTTTACGGCACCTGAGCGGGTTACCTTAACCTAGCTGGGGTACCCCACCTCCATATAAACAGGCCCTAACTTAAATTCGCTACACAAAACTAAAGTACTAAAAAATCGTGTCTGTTCAATTATAACTTGTCTCTTTCGTTCAGAAATAAAGCGGTAGTACACAATGAAATACTAGTTTTACATAGGCCCCGTCCACACGAAGACGATTGTAAACGCAATCGCTAGTAAACGCAAACTTTTTTATGCGTTTAGGCCTTCCGTCCACACGAAGACGATGAAAACGCTCACCGTAAACGCATAAATTCGAAAACGCTCTCCAAAGTGGATAAATTTGAAAACGCCGTTTATGCGTCTTCGTGTGGACGGCCGTAAACGTATATTTTCGTAAACGATGTGAAAACGCTGACGTCAGATGTCAGCGCCAGTCTCTTTTATCGAGTGCGTTTCCAAGATGGCGTACACACGAGTGTTGAGCTGTGTCATGCTTGCGCTTATTTCAAGCATAATTGCGAGCATTCAATTGAATCATGCAATAATCGATATACAGGAAAACTACAAAAGAAGAAGACTAAACCTCTCAAGATTGTTATCCACAACTACAAGCACTTTTACTCGAGTAAAACGACTTAGATGCAGACGTGAGAGCAAAGAGAGAAGATTCTGGACCAGACCAGGTCGTACAAGCGCCTGGTGGAACAACTTTGCCGATCAAGTGGTGATACCAGAAGAGTGGAAAGAGAACTTTCGAATGAGCAGAGACTCGCTAGATAATCTAGCTGAAGAACTGAGACCGTGCGCGTTCGGTGTATGACATCGTTTTATGCGTTTACGAGCGTTTTCGTGTGGACGGGTTAAAACGCTACGTAAACGATGATCGTTTTCGTGTGGACGGAGATAAAAATATGCGTTTACTAGCGTTTGCGTTTACAATCGTCTTCGTGTGGACGGGGCCATAGTATAGAATACGCAAACCGAAGTATTCTTTAAAAAATATGCATTTCTGTCGCACGTACTCAATAAAACGGAAAATATTGTCAATGCTGGATATTGGGTACTTTTCTGAAAATCGCAAAAATTATTTCCTCAGCAAGAAAATCCAATGTGTACTGTCCTAATCGCAAAAATTAGTTCCCGCAAAACACAAAAAAAATCGCTAATCCGCAAAAATAAACTATCGCAAAAATCTCGTGCCACACAGTATTTTAATAGTAGTAAACTAATGTTTAAAGTAATGTTGTTACTTTTTTTGTTGTTGTTTATTCAGCTTTTTCAAGAAGTTTTCAGTGAACTGAAGAGACACATTACAAGCATGTACAAAGTGCAAAATTTTGGGCTCATTTTTTGGTTTGGCCTGCGCATTGTGCTGTCTTTTGCTGAAGAAAATGATCAGGCTGATGTTTTCAAGCACTGCATGAATTCCACCAATTCAACGTCTTGCAGTTTTACCTATGAACATGTCTACAACAGTTTAACAAAGAATGAGAGCAATTTTAACATATCCTATGCCTTGTATCCTGATGGAGCAAGGCCATCATTTCTTGTAAGAGTAAATGTTTATGGGCCCAATCGAACATCCAACTCTATACCAGCAAAATTTACCTGGAGTATACACTGTCTGTATGCCAATGTCCCTGCCTGGCCGCTTCAACTTTTGTCTCTTTTTTCCATTACTGTAACATCTCGAACTCAAGACCTCAACATAAAAGTCCCTGAATTTTGTTGCAATATGTCAGATGACAAAAAGAAAAGGGAAGAAATGATACAAGGATTTCTTACAAGAACCTTATTTGAAGTAAGTGTCAATATAATTTATTAATATTTTGTACGAATTAAAGCATGAAAAAAGTGTAGCTCTTACTTCACTAGAAATGAAATATCA